TTTCAGAGAACCTGAGCAGTGCCAACAATATGAACGGGATGAGTAGTTACACTGCTCTAATGTTTTTAAGTGTCTGTAAGTGTCTCTAAAATGTCTTTGCTTTACCAGAGGTGTTTGTGTATCTAAAGATTTTCCGGGTTGAACTGGCTCTGAACTCATGACCTAAATAGACTTCTGCTCTCCTGTTAGGTTCACCAGGCACATCTCACAAGCACGTCTTAAAAGCAAGCCCTTGATCTTCACCATCTCAAAAAATCTCCCTTCAGCCCAAATGTCACTCACTTCTTTCCTTGCCAAAATGTGTCTCTGCTCACAGAGGGCAAAGCCAAAGAACTAAACTCTACAAGATGCAAATACGTCTCCCAAAAAGATTTAAAGAGTTTAGGTCCTAATGAACCGAAAGGTACAGTGTTAGCTCTCTAGCAACCAGCCCTTGGAGGGTTAACGGACCATTTAGGGCTGCGTCCTGACAGCCTCCCCGATCAGAGGAAGGGAGTCCAGAGAGGAGCAAGGAAACACAGCAGGTCACCTAGTGGAAAGTGTCCATCACTAGTCCCGAGGAGAAGCCAGGGTCAGCCTCTTCCGGGGGTTTCCAGGCACCGGCCCGCTTATCGACAATAAGGCCAAGATGGCCCTGTAGGAGGACAGGTGGGGTCACGGGGCTGGGCCCAGGTTGTCAGTTTCTGCTGTACTCCCAGACCCTTGCCGCTGTGACTGTACAAAACACAACCCCCATCCTGAAGACCGTCCAGGCCTGGCATCACGGGGACTGACCGGGCAAAGCTGGATAGCAAACAGCTCACCGTTTGCCAGGGCTGCCTGTTAAGTTACCACATGCCATGGTGCCCTCTTTTAACCTATAAACCCGTGTCCATTGCATGAGCCGAAAAGGCACATCTGTCAGTTCCATGATGTCACACGAAGGCAAAGCCTGCCATTTCCTCCTGAAGGCTGTTCCTTGCACTCCTGACACAGTACGCATGACACAGATCACAATTCCCCAAGTGCTCCAAGCCACATGCTCCTAAGAAACAAGCAAACGAGTCAGGGAATGAGAAAACTTAGCATACTAAAATGTGCAAACACCATTGTACCAGAAAGCAGAAATATGGACAACTCGTAAAATGATACAGCGAGAGTCCAACACAAATCTCCAGAAGTGAAATGAGCAGGTTCTGCGTGGCTCAAAACCCACAGCATCACCGGGGAAGCCCTCCCCCACTCAAGGCAGAAGGAGGGCCCGGGAGGTGAGGGCGTGGCCAGGTGGAAAACACACTGTGCACCTGTCAGAAAGTTCCCTTCCCTACGCCCAGGCTCTGGATGACAAATGCCCACTCCCTGGTGCCGCAGGAGAGCTGCCTGAGCTGTGGCCCTGCTGCCTGGACAGAGACACTTGGTGACCCCCAGAGCTCGGCCAGCTCCCAGGCTCCGCTGCCCACACCCTGGAGCGGGGTCCCGGCCTCCCCAGTTCGGTCTTGGAAGCGACTGGTCACCTTGGGGCTTATCAGGGGACATTTGTTCCGTACAGAAGGCCACATTTCCAGCCACTGCTTCTGACACGTGTTTGGTTTTTTTTGTTTGTTTTTTTGCCACACCACGCAGCTTGCAGGATCTTAGTTCCCACACGCCCTCAGCAGTGAAAGCGCAGAGTCCTAACCACTGGACCGCCAGGGAATCCTCTTCTGACACTGTTTAGATTGGGACACATACTTATTCAACATCCCCTGACCCAGTGACCCATGGACCCCCTTTTGCTTATAGAGGAGAAGCTAGGTCTGCCCGGTGGAGGTCAGGATCATGAGCTGAGCGAAGCAGAACTTAGTTTTTGATCACTAGAGCTGGGTGAGATGTTGAAGCTATTACATTTTCAAGTAGAATGACGCTCACTTATCAAGTTGTGATAAATATTACCACAAAAAAGCCAAGCTGCATTGTGGGAACTTTGCTTTGGAGATAAGTGTGTGTGTGTTCACTCCATTCAGGAAATACAGTCGTAAATACTTCCCCAGTACTGCCTCTTCCTTTGAAACTTTTCAAAAATGAACAAACGAAAAGACCTATTTTAACGTCCCTACATTTCTTCACAAAGTGAAGTCTACAATAAAAAGTTGGCACTTCATGAAATAAAACTGACATTTAGAAGACTGCCAATTCTAGGACTTGGAAAGGCTATAACCACATATGCAGAAAGACAGGGCTGTTGAAAATATTTTACAAATTTCTGAACCTTAGAAGAGCTTTTCTCCAAGATTTATGGGAGAGCAAAACTAGATTTCCTTTCCTAACAGCCACGTTTGAAGTTCTTATATTATTAAATAAGTACTCTTAAAATTGTTTGAATTCCAAAGTATACTTTTGAAAAATCAGTAACGGTTTTTATAAGAATAAAATTTTTGCTGTAAATACCTCTTAAAAATCCATTTCTTATGTATTTTATTCTAGGTTTAATGGGTTACCATTTTAAAAGATACCAGACAAGAGGCTCTCTATTTTGATCATTATATTGTGTTCCTAATTTAATTTTAAATAATCTAAAACAATTCAAAAGAGTGCATTACTACCATATAAACTAGCATTTCAAACTGTGTTATAGGCCATATGCACTATCAATACTTTTCAACTAAAATGTATTCATAAGTACATAAGAAAAATACAAAATGTATTTAGGTGTTGTTATTATGCAATAATGTGCTTTTAAAAAGGAAGTGATATACCAGGCCCAATACCAGACATAGAATGAAAAGGCTTGATTGCATTTGTATTTAGTAGCAGAAAAAATTATGTAATTCTAATAAATGCTTATTGTTATTGATTTTTATAAGCACATGTGAATTAGGTATTGTTTCATCCACGTGACCATTTTTTAGTCTGCTTTACTCCAAGAGTAAATTGTAATTCATTAACTTGATGGCTTTCCACTAATAAATTAGTACTTAAATTATTTTTCCATGATCCGTTACCCCTGGCAAACACTGCTATAGTTAAAAAGGATGTCTACAAACCAGAGTTCAATCTAAATATTCCTATAGCTTGAGACATCCCATTTTGAAGCATCGAAATATCTGGCAGTTTTTTGTAGCCTGATGTTAATTCAGATGGTGCTGTATTTTAGCCTTGACTTCCTGTTATTTCTTAGAAGTAAGAAGCAGGTAGATTCCCCGCCCCAGTACAGTAATAACTGTACATTTGGTGTCTTAGTGTTCACAAGTAACCAACCAAGATTCCTGAGAGTAATGTAACCAGTTTTATCTTTACTCAAAGGAGGTTTACTTCAAGTGACAAATTTTACTAAAAGTTTAACTGCTTTATTAAGTATGACTCTCAACATATAGTTTTAAAAAAATACTAATTCTCTAGAGCAGGGGTTGGCAGACTTTCTATAAAGAGCCAGATGGTAAATATTTTAGACTTTGCCATATGGTCTCTGTTGCATCTGCTCAACTCTACTCTTGTAGCGGGAAAGCAATCATGGATAGTATGTGAATGAATGTGCATGGCTGTGTTCCTATAAAACTTTATTTATGGACACTGAAATTTGAATTTCATACAATTCTCATGTGTCACAAAAATAGTATTCTTCTTTCGAATTTTTCCAAATATTTAAAAATGTAAAAAACATTCTTAGCTCTCAGGCCCTACAAGAACGGGCTTCAGGCTGAATTTGGCCCAGGGGCTGGATGATACCTACCCGGGTTCTTAGGAAGCAACAGTGAAACAATCCCTCCTTAAAGATTAGCATTACAAAACCAACTGATTGTGCTAGCCGTGTGCTCGAACGTATGAAAACCAAAGACAGACAAGTTACCAAGGCAGCACCAAGGTATGAAGAAATCCAGTCCTCAGGAGGCTCACCAGCCCTGATCTTGGCATCCACAGCCATCAGCAGTGAACGAAGGCCAACCAGGCTGGTGCCCACCGGATTCGGAGCAGGATTTGCTTGCTGGGCATATGCTTCATCATCCAAGCCACCGCTCCCTACTGTGGCTCCAAGAGGGACAGAAAGCCACCTTTCCATCCCTCATCTCCCCGGCTTGGGGTCCAGCCACCGAGAGTCCGGCTTCTCTGACTGCTAATGGCCCAGGAGTCTAGCAGCTACGATGTGCTTTGCCTACACATCGCGGCTGGAAGCTGGAGGCCAAAGACCGGCTCTGACGGCTCACCGCCAAGGCCTGCCGATTACGCCGGCATTTCAACTCACCTAGCATCTTATTTTGCCCGGGGAAAGAACGATTTCTACAAAACACTTTTAAGAACACTCTAGCCCATTATGGGAAATATGGGCCTTTCCACATCAGACAGGAGGGATGCAAGAAGGGAAATTTGAAAATATTGTTGTTTTGACACTTTAAGTGTAGCGCCATCCGCTTAAGAAGGCGGCCCGACTGCCAAGGTCTCCCAAACTTCCGAGAGCTGAAATATCAAGTAACAGACGTGCACGTGACCTTTACTTTTCAAAAGGACATTTGTACGCAAGCGCACGAGTCTCAGCAAACATTTCCCGGATCCCAGGTAAGAGAAAAGGACTGCCCGGCCAAGGCCCCACCTGGTTTTCTCGAGAAACAGGCCGCGGGCTCCCGCGGGCCCGCAGTTCACGCCGTCCCTCGGCGCGAGGCGGCGGGATGCTTCGACCGCTCCCTGAGACCCGAGGGGACGTCCAGAGTTAAAGACAAATCCCAAGGGTCTGCAGCCTCGCTCAGGAGTCAGGAGTCTTTTTCGTGGAGAAAGCCACTGTTCGGAATCTTGAGGATTTCTTCCCATTCGACGCGCGGCTAGAACTCCAGAGGCCAAAGCGACGGGCAAGAGGCCGGGAAGGTAGGGCGCTTCGCCGGGTAGGGCTCCGTGCTTGCTGGCGGGTTCTGTCTGGGGCGCGAGCTTGCGGGGAGCGGCTTCTTCTCTCCAAGAGGATGACGCTCCGCAAAGCGTCGCGGCTGCCTGGGCTCCGCGCGCCGTCGGCCTCTTCCCGCGTCCCTGCGAGCGCTGCGGTGCCGAGGACTGCGGGCTCAGCGCGCGTCGGCAGGGCGCACGTAGCGCAGCGTGTAGTTGGCCCCCGAGTTGTTGTCCCAGTACTCGCCCTGGGCGCAGCGGTAGCAGACGGCGAAGTGGACGGCGACGTCCGGAGCGTCCGCGTCCTCCCCCTCCTTGGGCTGCAGGCCCGGGGGCAGGCACAGCGCGAAGTGGAAGCGCTCGGCGCTCGGCTCCTCCTCGGCCTCCCCCGGCCCCCCCGACGGCGCCTCTGGCGGCGGAGACTTCCCTGGCTCGGGCCGCAGCTCAGCCGGCAGGTCCAGGAAGGAGCGCCATTCGGTGAAGGTGTAGCGCACGGCCACGACGCGCGGCCCCGGGCAGCCCAGCACCCGGCCGGAGCCGGTCACCTCCGCGCCCCAGGGTGCCGAGCACTGCACGCGCTCCAGGC